CTCTCTCTTTCAAAAAATAAATAAATAAATAGGCCTTATAAAAATTCTCTCTGGGGCCAGCAGGTGGGGCATGGAGGCTAAGGCACTGGATTCTCACATGGCCAAATGTGGCTGAGTCCCAGACCTGACAACTTGTTTTCTCACTTCCCTTCCCCCAACCCCCACTCTCTCACTCTCTCACTCTCTCTGTCTCTGGTGAGTGCATGTACCCTATTGCAAATCAAAAAATAAATAAAATTAAATAATTCTTTAAAAAATTATCTCTGGAGGAATACTCAATATCACTGAATTCTTTCAGAAAACACTGAGGAACATAACTACTTAAAAAAAAAACCCTCAAAACAAGTTACCATTAATTTATGTAAAGCAGAGAAAACAGACATAAGAGAAAGATCCTTAAAATATGATTGTTTAGAGAAAAAAAAATTAACCAACTCAGCTTAGCCCCCATGTCTCCACCAGACAGGACCTGATACTTGAAGGACCGACTATTCCAGGCTGAAGGGCATGGATGTCACATCTCTCCCACGCGTCACTCTGGAGAAGAGCCTCCACGGCCTCGAGGCGGACGCAGCTGTGAGCACCAGCTCCCCAGCACCAAGCACAGTGCCCACCACGCACAGACACGCTCTCCACCTCGGCCAGCGCTTTAGAACGGTGTCACTCACCCGCCCCCCTCCACGACCCGCAGGCGTCCCCATGCCTGGCACCCTCGCCTACCCCAGCTTTGCTCCCAGCCTCTGCATGCAGCTGTAGTCCAGCAGAGAGTCGTTCTCCAGGGAAGGGAACTCTTCATACGTGGGCTCGAACTGTAGAGACACGCAAAGCCCGGGCGGCTCGTGAGCAGGGCGCTCCACTCCTCGCCTCATGTTTCCAGACGTGAGAAGAACTGATACTTAGGGGCCGGCAGGTGGTGTGGTGCTTTAGGCTGACTGCAGTTTGAGTCCCAGACCTGGTAGCTTGAAAATCGCGCTGAGCGCACGTGCGTGTGTGCCCAAAATCCCAAGATAAGAGTAGAGGAGAAAGGACTGCAGCCTGGCCATCCCCCGGGGTGACTTCTCATTTCCCTGTCTCTGTGTCTCTCTGTCTCTCCAGTGAGCACACACACCCTACGGCAAAAACCTAAAAATATAATAAAATTAAAAATAATTGCTACTATTCCACTCTTGAGTATCTACCCAACGGACAGGAGAGCACTCAGTTGGAAAAGCGCTTGCACATCTATGTCCACTGCAGCCTTATTCACGATAGCTAAGACATGGAACCAACCCAAATGTCCACAGATGAATGGATTGAACAAGTGTGGCACATCTACTCCATGGAATTTGATACAAAGTGGACGGATATAGAAGATGCGTTGCTGGGTGACGCAAGTCAGGCTCTGAAAGAGAGACATTGCACGTCTCCACTCAACATCTACTGACTGCACTCTCTGGGAGAGACTGGAGGACATGAAAGTATTGAAAATTGTAAAGGACACCAGAGACGAATGTGGGAGGGGAAGAGGTATAGGAAATTTGAAAGGGAAGTGGAGAGGTGAGACACTTGTGGGACACAGATAAGGTTTATTATCTGTTGACGAGGATGTGTATGGTGGTCTCAGCTGGGCTGGACTGAGGTGTATATCATGCTGGGTAAAGTCTCTTCACAACCTAAATGATGTATAGCGATTTATGTATGAATAATAATAAAAAACATAGAAATATAAAAATTAATCAATAAAATAACTGCCACTTAGATCCAGGTGCAAAGGCCTCTAATAACTTAGACGAATGAAAGCAAAATCGGGCCGTGCCTTATCTGTAAGCCACCTGAAGACATTCACACAAGAGGATAGTCATAACTATCGCGGACTAACTCCAAGGAAAAACACCGTGTCAGAGTCACTACTGTATCAAGCAAACTAAGCCGGGAAGAGATGCCGCGTCCCCTTCGAGCTGCGCAGCCCGCACCGCCGCGGCCCCAGTACGCCTGCACTCCTGCTCTGATAGGGCACAGCCGCTAGCAATGTGGAAAACTGAACTTCGGAGTTCAACTTCTGCCGTTCAATCCTTCCACATCCTCACAGAAGACGGTTTCGGTGGCAAATAGAGCATTTACGAATATGAAGGTCAACTAAGACAAGCCAATCAACACAGGGAAAGGCTCTCGAAGCCCTTTTTGAACACCGCACCATCCACCTGAACATGAAAGCTGAGGTCTGAACCTATCCCGGCACACCGGCATGACTCAGTAGCAAACCCGCCACCTCGGGCAGCGACGGTGGAGGGGACGCGCTTCCTCGGGAGCTCGGTACCTCGACATTCCGCTTGACAAAGGTTTTCGTCACTCTCAGCATGTGTGTGTACTCGATCAGCTCAAGCAGGTTCTTCCTCAGTTTCTCCTTGTTCTTAGTGACTTCTCGCAGCTCGACCTCAAGCTTCTGCAACTGCTCCTAAAACGAAACGGCAGGAGCCGCAGTGTGGATACCCTGCGTGCAGCTGACGGCCTCTCACAGGCGCCGACCCAGCGGGGTTTCCCACGGTACAGCCAGGATTGCACTCTTTGGACAGGGATATGAAGATATGTACAGATTTTAAAGGACCATCATTTATTGTTTCTTACTGATTCAGGTCATTTCCATGAGTTCATGCCACTTATGATACAAATAAAACATTCAGGGCTGGCCTTGTAGCCTAGCGGTTAAGGGAGCCAGATGCCACAGGGCCGACTGCAGTTCGAATCCCGGCTCCAGAGACTTGAAAAACACTCTGGGCACCTGTGCGTGCATGCTCCAAATTCAGACAGGATGGAGAAGTGGAGGAAAACCAGTAGAAGCGGGCTAGCCTACGGCATCGAGGGTAAGGCGGCTAGATCTCACATGGCTGACCCTGTGGTTCGAGTCTCAGACCCAACACTTGAGGAACAGACAAGGTACACATGCATTAGTGCCCAAAATCCCAAAAGGAGGGAAAAATGGAGGAGGCGGGACTGTGGCATGACCATTTCCAAGAGGAGATGCTTTCTCACTTTCCATTTCTCTCTCTCTTGCTCTCTGTCTCTGGCAAGTACACCTGCACTCTGGCAGAATTTTTAAAAAATAGAAGTACTATGAAGCATGTGCTTGAACAATGAAAACCTGTCCTCAAACACACCACTCCTCATACGCCACCTAGCACCATGCTCTGCCTCCTGGACACTCTCAGCCACCTCACTCTGCTACTCCTGATGGCGACCCGGCGTTCTGGACGCTCTATT